TGGTTGTAAAAACTGTTCCATGATAGTGAACCATTTGGGGGTTCTGACAAACCTTGTTTGTTAGTGCGTAATGTGAAAAGAGAATTTAACCTGATTTAATAAAAATTATTTTACTTTATTATATGTATTTGTTATAATTACATTTTTCATAATTATATTTTTTTAGCTAAAGTAATAGCGTCCTAGATTCAGTTTAATAATAACAAATTTTTTTTTCTAAATTTGAGATACATTTGACAATAATACTTAAAATAAAATCTAACAAATTATGGTTTTATGATAATTTAATATAATACTAATAAAATAATGCTGTGTTTCAAAATTTTCCATTTCTTTCTAAGATTTCTTGTAAAATAAAAGATCACATGTAGTGCATCTTTGTTTGAGTTCATAATTTTTATTTCAATTGTAATCACAAAAAATCGGTAAAATTTGTAAATGATGAATTATATATATATTACTAATTCCTATTTAAAACTAGATTAATATATGATTAGCCTGTACATGTAATTTGAATATGTTAACATTAGTAGGATAATAAAAGTTGCCGTTTATCTGAAGATTTGTAAATCATAGATTCTAATCAATTCTATTTTTATTTTTGAATTTCTTTTTAACGACGCTTTTATCTTATGATCTGAATATAAATCAGTGTATATTTTTTATTATAATTTAGAACTGCGTAATGAGTAAGATAGAACATACCAAAATTTTGAAGAAAGTTCATTACTATAGCAACACAAAAATATTACTCTTAATAAGGTTTATTAATAAAATAATGACTACGGATGCTAATAAAATTTACTGCATATAGCATATTTTGCGAATATATTTACTTTGGTTAAGCCATTCACATGATTCAAAAAAAGAATTCACATAATTCAGTCAATATAAATAATTGATTTACCTAATAATTCTTCTAAATGGTTACTGAAAAGATAATAAAACTCATCATTAGTGAGCTTTTTCTTTTGTATCTTATATCATAATAATAATAATTATTATCACGTTTACTATATTTATTATATCTACCGTAACTATTATATCTATTATTATCTGAATTATCTGACATCTCTTCTTCAAAATTATTGTTATAACTATAGTTACTATTATCATCTATCTTAACTTCATTCATTCCTTTCTCCATTGACGAAGATATGAGATCATTAAAATACATATTATCATAGTCAATATTATTCTCTACCTCAGATAGAGTGATTTGAAGTGTGAATGATGAATTACCTAAAGAATTAGAGCTATATATAATAGAAATAGATGTGATTAATTCGCTTATTTTAGCTAAATTTTGGCTAGGATCTCCAGCTGAAATCTCAGTCATGTGATTTGATACTTCTTTCACATCAGTATTATAGTTATCATTATGCTTAGAGAAATTATCTATAATAACTTTAATTTTATCATTAGTCAACTCAGAAATAGAGTTTACACTATATATTGTAATATACAGTGGCTGACAAAAGAAACGCAACAACTTATTTTTAGCTTTAAACGCTTATAACTTATTAACTACAAAT